TTAGGATTTCGAGCAATAGTTCGAATACTTTCGGGTGAAATTTTTTTCAGTGGTTGCATTAATGTTGGGTATGGTGTGAGTGGGTAGTATTTTTCTTCGTCGGGATTTAATTGTACGACGTTGTGGCTTTTTTCTGATCCACATGGGACTGCGGTATCCCAAAAATATGTTCGTCTTGAAAGTGTATCATTAAAATGAACTTTATTTTTATAGAATATTGGGATTCGTTTGTAACAACGTTTATCTTCAAAAGCATATAATGGTGATACTTTTTTGGTGCAAGTATAAAACCATAATATATTTCCTTCATATTCAAGGAAGTTTGATCTATTTCCGGAGAATAAATATCCTGCGTAGGGTATTTTTAAAACTGCCAGTGCGAGTGATTGTAGAATCTGAGTTTGTTCCAATTCACATAGTTGATGTAGTGTTTCTAATTCTGAAAGTGACATTTCTTGAAAAATTCTACTAATTGTGTAGTCTAATTTCATATCTAAGTAGATGTCATAGTGTATTGCACTAAAATACGTATTTTTCATTAGTGATAATTCTTGTAATCGTGTGCTTTCAGTGTCTTGTGGTTTTGCTTTTCCACGAGGGTTTCCTGCTTTTTTAATAAATTTACTGGGATTTATGATGTTCTTTCGTTGAGAGGTTGATGTGTTGCTTGGGGATTATATTTTAGTTTTCCAGTGGTCATACCGAAACCTTCGCCGTATTTGACAAGTATTTCGGAATATTGTGTTTTGTGGAGTGGATTTTTATATTTACATGCAAATTCTGTTTCATGGTAGATTTGAAAACGTGTTAATTTATTTTCTATATTGCGAATGTTCCTAAATTTAATATTGCGGTTTCTAATTTGACTTGGGTTGACATTGTCAAATGAGATGGAATTAATGAAATATTTTTTATTGAATTTAATCATTCGAGCGTGGAATTTGGCTACTTGAAATGTTGTACAAGTATCTTCGGGAAACCAAACAATTGTTGCTTGTGTCCTTGTTGTAGGGTCACAATAACCTTGGTCATTTTTGCAAAGTGGTCTGATGCCTTGATAAATTAAAGTGTTATCTTTTGAATCTCATGTGAGTTGTATTTTTTCGAGTTGTATTTTCCAGTCAAAAAACATTATTTCTTGGTATCCTTTATTTTTTGTATCTGCTGTGCAGTTTGAAGGATTATTTATTCCAATATGTGGTATCCAGTGTTTGTCGTGAATATCATAAGTTAGTCGTCCGTGTGCGCCGTTGTATGGATATCTTTCGTCTAGTTTAATATGACCTTAATATCTTTCAAGTTCTGCTTGATGTACAGAGTCTGCCAAAACTTGAAAGTTTACTATTTTTCTGTTTGATTTTTTATTCTTTGTCAAGCTTAATCTGAGTAGTTCGTTTTTACAATCTTCGGGACTTAGATGTAAAAGTTTTTCTATGTTACTTTGGTAGAGTGATTTGTGATCAAGTCGGTTTTTATTTCCATTTAAAACTTGTGAACAATGTACTTTCTTTTCGGAAAAGGTTGCTGTAAATTTATAGCCTGTTAGTGTTGTTGCTCGGTTGTTGCTCGGTGAGTATAATGTTGCTACTATGTTTGTGGTTTCTATAGCTTGTGGTTCTGATTCGCATTGTGTTACTTGGTTTGTTGCTTATTTGTGTAGCGTTTTTTGTTCATTTTCTTCACAATAGTAGTGTGTTACTAACAAATCCTGAGGTCCTGTGCGAGGAGATGGAATTGTGTTTTGTTCGGAAAAAATTAGAAAAAGGATGTGTTGAAATATTAATATTTTTAAAATATACATGTGTATGATAATCCTGAGTGTGGGTTATAAAAGGTGATATATCCAATTGTGTTTTTGGTATATCTGTCGTATTTAAATATGACTTCAGTCGTTATAAATGGGGGAGGTAATAATTGACCTGTTATATTTGGTGGACTTAGGGGAAAAGGTTGTTGAACAATATTATTCAGTCTGACTGTGATTTCAAATTTTAATTGGAGACTATTTTGTTGAAGTATTTGAATATTGTGTTCTTGAATATCTTTGTGAATATCTTGCCTATACTGTAATCTATTTAGTGCCCAACTGTGGAGTCGGCTACTTTCTGGATGTTGTCCAAATAGTGGGGGAGGTGCTACGAAAGTATTCCAATCTAACCGTAGAGGGATATTTGTTGATGATTGTTCTTGGTATCTTGCGTCAAGATTGGTGGGGAAAATAAGGGGGAAAAGTGTTGGTGAAATTTGACATAAAGATGGTGTTGATGGCAGTGAAAGTGTTTCTGGTAGAGATGATAATGTTGTATCAGAAATAATATCTATTGGTTCATTCACTAAATTTGGTTCATTTTGAGTTTATGAGTGTGTTGTCCAATATGGTGGTCTTTCGGTGGTGTCTGGAGGGTTAAAAGGATTTTCTCGAATTTGTTCTGATGTTGGAGTTGAACTTAAATAATCTGATGGAACATTTGAGATGCTTCGTTGTGAAAGAAGGGTGGGAGTTTCTGGTAGGGTACTACTTGAAAGTTATGAGGTAGTTGGTGTCGGCGATTGGGGTATGTTAAAATGAGTTGTGGGGGTTTGAAAATTTCTATTTCTTCTTGGGTGTATGATCTGTCTATTTATTTCAAGTGTGTTTTGATTTTGGCTTATATGTCTTAGTCGATTAAGATCTTGTTGTAAGGTGGGATAAAAAATTATATGTTGGTTTGCTTAAAGATGCTTGGGAATGAACTGGTTCTAAGGGTTCAGATAATCGTGCATGTCGTTCTTCAAAATGTATGGATTGTCTGAAAAGAATTTTGTATTGATGGTGGAGGATTAATTGTAGGTGTTATTGGGCTGGTTTGGTGGTGGTTGATTAGCAATTTTGAAAAGGTATTTGAGTGTTTAATTCTTATTGGGAAAGTTTATGTATATTATAATATTCTTCAATAAAAAGTATCAAAAGAGTAGTTGCTAAGGCGAATGTGACTTTTGCCTTTTTTCTACATTTGCCATTTATCATGATTAGGGATATTAAATATGTGAGAAAAATTATGCGATGTAGAAATAGTAATTGAATTGAAGCAAGGTAATTCAGCAACATATATAGCTAATATGTGCAAATTTGTTATTCTGTTCTTGGCGTTTCGTTTGAGGCAAGAGTCTATATTGGCAGATTTTCCCTTCTACGTCACAAAAATTATTGCGGATTCTATATTACTCACTTTCTGCATTCGGGTGTTCTGCACTAAATCATATAGTTAAACCAGCGATAAAGTAAAATCCTAGACAATTTTAATACAGGCAATTGTTTACTGTCCGATTGTTTCACTGACAGTTTTTGACGGAATTTTTTTACACCATCTGAAATATTTCGATGACGTCAGCAAAAATCAAATATATTTCAGCTGTGATCGTTTTTCGCAAAGTTTTGAACGTTAAATAATAGAACCAATTTGGTTCAATTGATTCGCGCTAAATACCAGTTTTCTCTCAGCTTGTAGCAGGGGCGGATCTAGGATTTTCTCGGGGGGGGGGGGGGCGGATTTTCCAAAAAAAAGTTCGAACATTTTGTCGACCTTTTTTTTAGGTCGACTAAAATGATTTTCTGAGCTCACCCAAATCGCATCGCTATAAAGACCCCATTTTGACCAAATTTGCTGCGCGCAGGCAAATTTTTGAAAAAACAGTCAAAAAAGGCGTTTTTAAGATTTTTTTGGAAAATTTTGACCAAAAATCGCGTTTTTTCGGTTCGTGCTACCTCCTCCCCCCCCCCCCCCCCCCAACACACAAAATTGCTATATTTTGGCGCCTTTACAAAAATTTTAGGGTCAGTCAGCCAAAAATTGAAATCTCAAAATATTACAAAGGGGGACCCTTTGGGTCGGCTGGGGGTCGAATCCCTGAGGTGGGGGGGGGGGCTAAATCCGCTGGTGGCTTGTAGCGGAGTAAGCAGCGAATTGATCCGACAAAAAAAAATAATATAGCGTGATTCGAGAGCGATCTTGTTACCTATCGGCGAAAGTTGTGATGTCCGAGCATCAGTGGATTAATTAATGAATACGGCAATTGCCTCGTGGCCATTTTATTGACGTGCGAACTGCAGCTTCCCCTGTCTAGGAAGTGGAAGAGAAAAAATTAAAAATTCCCAGTGCTTGCAACAGTATTTCATCGGAAAATTGCGTGTGGCACAAGCTTTTTTTTTGCTGTTACGGGGGTTTCCAGAAAAGCCCATAAAAGAAAACAAGACTGCTCGTATCAGGGCGAAGCCCTGAATGTTCCGACTGCCTTTAAAGGTTTATGGAGCAGCAATAACATCAAAAAAATAAAGTAATAAAACAAAATGAAAATATTTTTTTTTGTAAAATTTGAAATTTTTTTAATGAAAATCATCCCCCCACACGCCATATAAAATACAAAAATATAGATTTCGCTCCTTGTAACAAATCAATTATGGCAAATAAGCTTCTTTTAACCAATTTGAAACGATTTCTAAGACGGATTAATAGCGCTTACGCGTTAATAGCGCGAAATATATCGCGCGTTAATTGTCCCAAATTGGCCAAAATGGCAATCTTTAAACCCCCATAACTTTACGAAAAATGATCACAGGTGAAATATTTTTTCGAGTTTGAGCTCAGGACAACAATACCTTTCGAATGATATATAAAAAAAGTTCCGTCAAAAATGGCTAGTTAAAAAGTCGAAATTTGTCTGAAGAAAAAAAAACCCACCCCGAGCACAAATATTCCGTTACTTTCGTATCGAAAGTCGGAACAATTAGCCAAAAAAATATACGATCTCACAAAATACGTGTGAACAAGGGCCGCTTTTTTGAACAGATTCTAAAGAGAGAACGAGTTAACGAAATAAATTCATGATTTAACACGTCTGGCTAAAATAATTAGTTTTCAAACAAAAGAAAGTCTTATTTTTTCAAGCCAATTACTTCAGTCGACAGTTTTAACTTTTCAGGTATTTTAGACTTTTCTTGTAGACTCTTCAGGCATTTAAGGCTAATTCTGATCGCCAACTTTCCTCAGAGCGTCTTCAACCGCGGTAAACTTTTCATCCAGTTCTTTTTTGGCCTCTCTGTGGAATCTAGCAACCAGGATTCGTTGCTCCTCTAGCGCTTCGTCTAGCACTTCCCGCTTTTTTTTCAGTTCTCTTTCATAAATTGAGGATTGTTGGTAAATATAGCAGATATCTTCAGCCCTCTGCAAATCATTGGAGATAAATGTTTGGATGTATGCGCTCATCTTGCTCAAAGTTTCTGATGTTTCTTTTACAGATCGTGAGTAGGCTTCCAACGATATTCCCACTTGCTCGCGTCGTTTTTTAGCTGCCTCGATGCTGAGGACTCTATGAGGACTGCCTCTATGGTCTGAATTAACGCGTTTTTTTGGAAATTTTACTTGAAAAAATGGAAACCGTGATCTGAAACTTTTAGAAAAAAAGTCTGCGATACTTGTGCATCTTAGAATCAATTGTTCATTGTAAATATTGAAAATGAGTTGTAAATAAGTTGCACTCAACTCGACGTTCTTCTGGAGGTTTGTGTTGATCGGATAAGTCCTCTTACTGTCCAGTGGATGGTAACATTGGGGACACTTTAGAGCGCTGCCTCTATTCTCCTTCAAGATCTTATCCAGACATTCGTGACAGAAAGAGTCGCCGCAATCCAACACCCGCGGTCTATTAAAAGGCTCTCCGCATAAGTAGCACATACAACCGTTTCTTACGTACAGATCAACCATTTTTCTTTCAGGCTGTGAAGATGTGTGTCAAAAATTATATTTTTCTTCAACTAACAAGGCGTTTGGTGGTTAAGTTTTTAAATTTTGGTTATGTGAACATAATTTAATGATCTATCTAAGATGTGTGTCAAAAATTATATTTTTCTTCAACTAACAAGGCGTTTGGTGGTTAAGTTCTTAAATGTTGGTTATGTGAACATAATTTAATGATCTATCTAAGATGTGTGTCAAAAATTATATTTTTCTTCAACTAACAAGGCGTTTGGTGGTTAAGTTTTTAAATTTTGGTTATGTGAACATAATTTAATGATCTATCTAAGATGTGTGTCAAAAATTATATTTTTCTTCAACTAACAAGGCGTTTGGTGGTTAAGTTCTTAAATGTTGGTTATGTGAACATAATTTAATGATCTATCTAAGATGTGTGTCAAAAATTATATTTTTCTTCAACTAACAAGGCGTTTGGTGGTTAAGTTTTTAAATTTTGGTTATGTGAACATAATTTAATGATCTATCTAATAGCTCGTCGAATGATTTAAAAATAGCTATCGCGTAAAATTTGATGAGACTTATAGAATGCTTGGTTGCGTTTGGATAATTAGAGCGAAGTAAAATTCGAATTATTTTGCGCTTGCGTATAAAACTGCTTCGAATAAAACTGCTACCAACCCGTGGACTGCGTTGCACGCTTAAGATTATGTTCTCAAGTCCTATTTTTAGCAATTTTGCTAATAAAAGCGAAATGTTCTTTCAATTGAGTAAGTACACCTCCTATGGTATTCACACAATTCGCCCTTCACACTTTTCGCCCCCTCTTAAATCTGGTGGCACATTTGGCCCCTCAAATTACTGGCATATTTCGCCCCTAAGAAAGCGGCGTTAATTAACTGTGTAATACGTTCGGGGCGAAACGTGCGAGGATGAAATGTGTGAAATTATTAGGTGCGAAATGTGCCACTAGATTTAAGAAGGGGCGAAATGTGTGAGGCGAAACGTGGGACATTCACCTCCTATACAGCCCGCATTTTTTATGTTTTAGAATCAGTTATTTAGGTCCATTGATTTCGTCTTGTTTTTTTTTCGGTCTTGGCGCCGATGTTTTTTGATTGCCATAATGATTAGAATTTAATTCTAGCTCCGTACATTTTTTTCAAACATAACTTTCAAAATTTCAGGCGATTGAAATATTTTAGAAACCGAATGTTTTTTCTAGCTAGGGTTTTTACATCACATTTTTTATCCTTGAGTTGAGGAAGAATATTGCAATCGGGTACTAGACTTCTTTCTTTTTTTGGTTGTTCGATCGGCTGTATTTACCTCATTTTAATTGGTGCTGATAAAATAGCTCATTAGTTTCAGTACATTTTTTTGTTCAGATTTTTTTGAAATTTGATTTTTTCACTAGCGAGCTTGCGAGTGTAATGTATTAGTGCGAACCTTCTTTTTTCGAAATTAGCTCAAAAAAATGTTCATTGAAATATTCATTTATTTTGTCTCTTTTGGCCTCTCTGTGGAATCTTTGTGTTTAAATTATGTTTAACCAGAATTGACGTCGTCAGAGCTAACATTACTAATTGTGTAGCAGCCGTTTGTACTTGTTCTCTCCCCCTAATCGCTGTTGCTATAATGATATAGATTTTTTTCATTAACAATCCTTTTGTATCTGAGAAATTCTGAAAGTTTTTTTTTCATCTGCTTTGTACTTTGAGCGCTTATGAGCTTTTAAAAAAAATAAGTTGCTCTCGATAGTGAAAAATATATTAATCAAAAAACAATTTTTTTTTTAAATATATTTTTCGCTATCGAGTGCAAATATCTAGTAATTGGGAACTAAACTTTTGTAATCGAGAACTAGACGCTTGTAATCGGGAACTTAAGCTATTGAGAACTAGTGACTTGTAATCGGGAACTAGACTTTTTTCCCTTTAACAAATTTTGTTACAAGAATTTGAACTTGTCTTTTTTCTTGAATTTTTTCAACTTCCAAGTTTCTTCCCATAAGCCTAATTTTCATGTTTGATAAAAACAGGTATTATGAAAATGTGTTATGAAAAGACAGGTATTATGATTTGATTTCATATCTATTATATAATTAAATGCTGGCTTCACAATCGCGCCATGTTTGAGCTTTCTCAATGTATTTTTTTTGCATAATTAACAAAAAAATTTTTTTCACATTTGAGCTATGTCGTATATTGCAATGGTTGAGATTTTTTTTCCATTTTCCTGTAGAAGATCTCAATCCTTCCGTTGGAAACTGTGGGGGTACTCTTAGATAAAAAGAACTTAGACACAAATTTTTGAATTACAATTATTGAAGTTCTAGTGTCTACAATGAGGCTCTACCAGTGTACTCCCAAGAGTTGTAAGCTTTTCCTCCAAATATGTCAATTAAGTTTGAAGTTTCTCATATTTTGAATTTCCCAACGCTGTAGTTGGGTACTTTAAGAGTACTCTCGGGAGTAGCAAATCTAGCGACTAAATGAAACTGCTCAATTGCTTTCAGTTTCCGAGATGTGACAATCCTTAGTTCATTTTGAATTTTTTCAATATATAACTTCAAAATTTAAGTTTTTTTTTCAGAATTTGAATTCAAAAAACTTGAATATAAAAACTTTTGCAAAGTTTGATATTACCAACCCTGTAATTGAGTGCTGTAATTAACACAATCGTAGTGTGTTACTAACAAATCCTGAGGTCCTGCGCGAGGAGATGGGTTTGTGTTTTGTTCGGAAAAAAATTAGAAAAGGATGTGTTGAAATATTAATATTTTTAAAATAGACATGTGTATGATAATCCTGAGTATGGGTTATAAAAAGTGATATATCCAATTGTGTTTTTGGTATATCTGTCGTGTTTATATATGACTTCAGTCGTTATAAATAGGGGAGGTAATGATTGAGCTGTTATATTTGGTGGACTTAGGGGAAATGGTTGTTGAACAATATTATTAAGTCTGACTGTGATTTCAAATTTTAATTGGAGACTACTTTGTTGAAGTATTTGAATATTGTGTTCTTGAATATCTTTGTGAATATCTTGCCTATACTGTAATCTATTTAGTGCCCACTTGTGGAGTCGGCTAATTTCTGGATGTTGTCCAAATAGTGGGGGAGATGCTACGAAAGTGTTCCAATCTAACCGTAGAGGGGTATTTGTCGATGAATGTTCTTGGTATCTTGCGTCAAGATTGGTGGGGAAATTAAGGGGGAAAAGTGTTGGTGAATTTTGACATAAAGATGGTGTTAATGGAAGCGAAAGTGTTTCTGGTAGAGATGATAATGTTGTATCAGAAGAAAAATCTATTGGTTCATTCACTAAATTTGGTTCACCTTGAGTGTATGAGTGTGTTGTCCAATATGGTGGTCTGGAGGGTTAAAAGGATTTTCTCGAATTTGTTCTGATGCTGGAGTTGAACCTAGATAGTCTGATGGAATGTTTGAGATGCTTTGTTGTGAAGCAAATGTAGGAGTTTCTGGTAGGGTACTACTTGAAAGTTCTGAGCTAGTTGGTGTCGGCAATTGGGTTATGTTAAAATTAATTCTGTGGGTTTGAAAAATTCTATTTCTTCTTGGGTGTATGGTCTGTCTATTTGTTACAAGTGTGTTTTGATTTTGGCTTATATGTCCTACTCGATTAAGATCTTAAGGTGGGATATAAATTATATGTTGGTTTGCTTAAAGATGCTTGGCGATGAACTGGTTCTAAGGGTTCAGATAATCGTGCGTGTCGTTCTTCAAAATGTATGGATTGTATTGAAAAGAAATTTGTATTGATGGTGGGGGATTAGTTGTTGGTGTTATTGGACTTTCTTGGGATGTTGTTGTTGGGGGCTGGTTTGGTGGTGGTTGATTAGCAATTTTGAAAAGGTATTTGAGGGTTTAATTCTTTTTGGCAAAATTTGTGTTTATTATAATATTCTTCAATAAAAAGTATCAAAAGAATAGTTGCCAAGGCGAATGTGACTTTTGCCTTTTTTATACATTTGCACATCGTCATGATTAGGGATATTGAAAATGTGAGAAAAATTATGAATAAAAGAAAAATATCTTTTCGATTAAAAATGGTTCGTATCATTTAAATAGATTTTATGTTTTCTTACCTGTAGTTGTGGTCAAAGATTTGGGAAAATTGGAGATATATTTCGAATAGGGAATAGAAAATTTAAAAAAGATTGCAAAAAGTTATAGAAAAGATTATTAGAGATTCAAAATTTTCAATGAAAAGGAAGAGCAAAAATTTTAATAGAGTGGAAAATTTTGTAAAAAGGTTTGAAAGTTTTTGTTTTATGTTATCAACTGCTATAGAAAGAAGCGTCTAAGAAATGATTTGATTTGTCGAATATTTTTAAAAATTTTTAGGCGAAATTCAAGTGTGGTTGGATTAATTATTGATTTTTTGACAAGTGGGTTGAGTTTTGTCAAAAATTGTTGAGGGTGTATTTTTATGGTATTTGGGAGGTCTTCATAGTTTTGTTTTTATTTGTTGGGTAATTGGGGGTATATTGGGATTATTTGTACCTTAGGCCAAATGATCATGAGTCTTTTTTGCTTTAGGCTAATTTGCCATTTTTGGTTGGAGAGTTTTTGAGGTCTGAGTTGGGAAAATTTTGTTGATTTTTGCATAATCTAATAGGGGAGGGTTGTAATATTGAAGTAGTGTTTATTTTAGCTGTCAGTTTTTAGCAAGTTGCTTATTTTTGACCTGGAGGTTGTAAAGTTATAGTTATAGATATGCCTGGAGATTATTATCTGTCGGCTAATGAGTTTGTGTTAGAGATATAAAGGTAGCAATTTGAATAGTTTCTATTGACTGAATTTGAATTAGAATTGATTGAGGTTATTTTCAGCATGTTTTTACTGAAATTTGAAAGTTTAAAGTGATTAAAGAGAATGTTGATGGTAATCAAAATTAAAGTTGTTTTTGAAATTCAATTTTCTTTAATATTTTAGATTGTGGGATGAATGTCTTATAGTTTTTTCGAGGTTGACTTCTAAGAC